AGGTGGTTGCCAACGTCGCGGTAGAGCAGCATGCCAGCGTTGCAACCGCATTGTTGGAGGTTGCGTGGGGCAGTTTTGCCCCCAACCACCAAGCGGTGCTGATTCTGGTGCTCACCTTCGGGTGATCTGCAGGTTTGTGTGGGGCTGAAGTTTAACTTCGGACGTTGGTGGAAGCCGTTCGTTCACTTCTTCAATACTCCAAGCTTGGGAACGAATGGCGGGGAGAGGCGAGTGCGTTAGCGGCGTGGGTTTGTAACCGTTTGGTGACGAAGGTGCTCCCGGGAACGACTCCGTTCGAAGCATGGACCGGAACGAAGCCGAACCTATCCCTCCTATGCACCTTTGGATGCCTTTGCTACTACCATGCAACCGAAGGCTCGTGCGGCATTTTACTTGGGAATTGCGGCGAACGAGCGTGCGTGGCAAGTGTGGGACTTGGGTGAAAAGCGCGTAGTCACATCTCATGACGTGGTCTTTGACGAAGACAAGTTCACGACGAAGGAACAACCAACGCCGCAACTCAGCGTCGTACTTCCCGCACGAGAGGCGGGTGAAGTGGTGGAGGTTCCACCACAAGTGGAAACGGAAGCTAAAAATGGAGGGGGAGAGAATGAGGAGAGCGATGACGATGTGATGGAGTTACCACCAACCGCGGCGGCAACTTCATCTACACCTTCCTCCCCACCATTGGCGTTGACCCGCGAGCGACGTACACCTCGCACCAACATGAAGTACACCGACTACACTACGGTTGCCGTTGGGGAGTTGGACGAGGAGCGTGCGGCATATTGCTTCACAACCATGGGTGATGACCCTCGCACCCACACAAAGGCTTTGGGTTCTCCGGATGCGCCACTAAGGAAGCAAGCGATGGAGAAGGAGCTAGCCTCGATCAAAGAGAACGACGTGTTCGAGCTCGTCGATCCGCTGAAGTGTGCCTACTTGGTGGGATGCAAGTGGGTGTTAAAGAAGAAGGTGGGAGCCGATGGGAGTGTCGAACGCTACAAGGCGAGGCTTGTAGCTCAAGGATACACTCAACAGGAGGGGGAGCACTATAGTGAGACCGTTGCTAAGGCAACTTCTTTTCGGATGTTGCTCGTGCTAGCGGCATCCCTCAACCTCGGGGTGGAGCAATTGGACGTTTGCACCGCCTTTCTCCACGGGCTTCTCATAGAAGAAGTCTACATGTCGTAGCCCTCGGGGTACGATGACGGTAGCGGAAGGGTATGGAAGCTCAAGCGTACCCTCTACGGCTTGAAACAAAGCCCAAAGGAATGGTACAAGCGCATCGACGATTTTCTTCTTCAACACGGCTTCGCGCGTAGTGAGTGCGATAGCGCTTTGTACGTCTTGAAGGAGGGGGAGAAACAATTGGTGCTTTTGCTCTACGTCGATGACCTCCTTCTCTTCTCCGTCTCCAAAGACCTCATTTGAGAGGTTAAGCAATGGCTAGGGGCGGAGTTTGCAATGAGGGACCTGGGACCGGTCACGTATTACCTTGGGATGCACGTCAACCGTGACCGAGCCAACGGGACCATCCACCTCCACCAAGGAAAAATGTGAAGGGGGTAGTGGAGCGCTTCGGCATGGGCAGCAGCAAACTGGTGGGAACACCACTAGCTATGGGATTTTCTTGCCTCACAGGAGAGGAAGAATCCGCCTTCAACGAAGCCGAAGGGAAGCAGATTCTTTCGCTAGTGGGCTCGCTCATGTATGCCGCCGTTTCTACCCGTCCCGACCTCGCATACGCCGCTGGGGTGCTTGGACGAGTTGTGAGCAGCCCTCATACTGAGCATGTGCGTGCGGGAGGACGCGTTCTACACTACCTCCAATTGGCACACCTAACTTGGGGCTCGTTTATGAAGCCGGCCCGATTGAACTCAACGGCTATACCGACTCGGACTACACCGGAGATCCGAGCACGCCAAGAGTACCTCCGGGTACGTCTTCACCTTGCTTGGGGCAGCCGTGAGTTGGCAAAGCAAGAAGCAGCCCACCGTCGCTCTAAGCTCAACGGAAGCGGAGTATATGGCACTCACTCGAGGAGACATGGAGGCGATATGGCTACGGCGTCTTCTAGCGGAGTTCGGGCATCCTCAACCCAACCCAACTCCTCTCTTTTGTGACAACCAAGCCGCCATAAGCCTCGCTCACAACGCTTTCCTTCACGGGCGAACCAAGCATATCGAGGTGAAGCATCATTCGTGAGGCGGTTGAGAAAGGTGAGGTCAAACTCACTTATGTAAGCACCAAAGCTCAACCGGCGGATTTCCTCACCAAACCACTCCCTAAGGACTCGCTCCATGCATGCAGTGAGCGTGTTGGATTGAGCACCTAGTGGCTTGGGTGCAAGGGGGAGTGTTGGAGGTTGCGTGGGACAGTTTTTGCCCCCAACCACCAAGCGGTGCTGATTTTGGTTCTCAACTTTGGGTGAGCTGCCGGTTTGCGTGGGGCTGAAGTTTGACTTCGGAAGACCCCACTGATTCGGTGCCACATGGCAGCATCAAGAACAATCGAGACTGAAGGAGAATTCGATTCGGTGAAATTCGAGTTCCGAATTTCACCCCTTCGAAATGTTACTCGAACATTCGCGAGTGTAGCGGTCGAGTTTACGTGTGCGACTCAATGTATTGCAGTTCATATAAATATGTTTGCTTGTATTGCATGGATCATACTTAAAAACGTGAATCATATTGTACACAGTGAATTCAAACACAAATTCCATAGAGCATCCATCCTTTGTTTCAAGAGCACCTCCTAGCACGTTGAAGCCTATTTCTCGCTCGATACTTAAGCGAATCACGTGTTCTATGGCTCGTTGGAAATCCAAGACTGTGCTCTACTGATTAGTACAAGTACTAGTTCCTGAAATCTAGAGGAGATGCCTCTACAACACGCATGTGACAGTAGCGCATATGCAGGTGCTTGTAGACAGTTGAGCAGGACGTGCACCGTCATGCACATCGCGCAGGTTCCAATTCGACCATATGCCAATGGTTGCGCCCGATGCACCACGTCAACCACCTACTGCAACGTTGCTCGGCTTCACCATGACTACATGTGCGACGTTCGCTCACTCCCGCATAACCTCGTCGCCCAGGTTACTTGGTCGACTGGGAAACCGCCGAGTCAATGCCGACTTGGGCGGTAGGGGCTCGGAATCTGATGTACATGCTCGTCGACCGCCCAGGTCGACACGACCCCCCAAATTTACCAAGTCGGTGTCCCCGCAGGTCGGCGAACCCCTTCATCGACCACTCCAGTCGAAGTCGGCCGCCGAATTCCTTTCGTCGGTGGCTTCGTAGTGGTCCCGTGGAAGTCGACCAAGCCCGTCGACTTCCTCGCCTAAGTTAGCGTCAACCACAGAGAGCAATTGGCTGCACCTCCTGCGCACCCGACCACGAAGTCGGCTTCGCCCAAGCGAGGGCGGGGCCAAGTTCCATCAACACTCCCTTGCCCATCGACGCTTGGGCACCCACATTCAAGGTCCTCCTAGAACTTGGGGGGAAAGAGTACAAGGGGAAAGGTCGTCGGTGTGCACACTATACACAGCACGCCGGTCACCACAACAGCCATGCAGAAGGGCATGGCGCCTACTGATGTACGTCGTCGTCACCGTCGCCGACGTCGGCCAGACACACTTGGACGATTATGACGAAGCACCGGTTGAAGGCCGCTCGTTTGAAACATATAGGTTCAAGGATGTCTTTTCTCATACGTGTATGTACTACCACTCCAGCTATGTGCCTGGTAGAAGAAAATGTCTTGTTTGATTGGCTTGATAAGGCTTCTGCTCTGCTCACATTTGTTTACTTGATTGTGTTGACTTCATTGTGCTGACTTCATTGTGTTGACTTCATTGTCCACTGCAATTCTAACATGATATGACAACTTACTTTTAGAATGAAACTGCAAATTCAACCAAGGGGTATGCGATGCTTAATTGTAACCGAAAGAATGCAACACAAAAGTTGCAGCATGGAGAAATTGGAGTAACTGTTTGAAGTATGTCTGGCAGGTGTGCACAAAGTCAAATATGTCTGGCTACGTGCTACTTTCAAACACATGAATTCCTGTGGAGATTAAACAAGTGCCCATGGAGGGGAATCAGTGGGCTGATTTGCCTCTCACAACAATCACCACACACTCTTCCACGGCCGAAGAAACAAGGAAATGTGGCAAGGCAAGGGAGAAATGAACGGGAGGAGACGTGGTGGGGTGGGGATGTGGGCGGGCAAAAGATTCAGGAATGATTTCGACTCAATGGTCAGGAGACGTGGTGGGGCAGAGGATGTGGGATAGGGGTTGTGAGATAGGGGTAGTGGGATAGGGGTTGTGGGATATGGGTTGTGTGATAGGGGTTGCTTTTGAGAAATTTCACAAGAATTCAATACAAATAGCGCTGGGAATGTGGGATAGGGGTTGTGGATAGGGAGAGTGAGTAGAGGAGAATGGGCAGAGGGAGTGGATGGGCTGGATTGCATTTGAGAACTCTCAAAAGTCGCACGAATGGACGGAGGAGGGAGTGGATGGGCTGGATTGCTTCCAGTTTGACAAGAGAATGACAACCTGGAAGAGAGAATCAGCACTCAAAATGGCAACCATGGACAGAGGAGGGAGTGGATTGACTGGATTGCTTCCAGTTTGACAAAAGAATGGCAACCTGGTGACTTCTGAGTCGACTCAAAAGTCACCTTGTCTTGATTCGACTCAAGAGGGAGTGGATTGACTAGAGTGCTTCCAGGTTGACAAGAGGATGACAACTTGGAAGAGAGAATAAACAACTTATGAGGCGCCTCAAAAGTCGCCACTTGGAAGAGATAATAAACACTCGAAATGGGACCAACGGGCAATGAGATGTGGAAACAGATTGGTACTGGAGTGAGATGAGGGCAGGCAAGGTTAGGGGAGTGAGATGAGAACAGTAAAGGGTAGAGAAATGAGGGGTGTGAATAGCAGTGCAACGACTACAGGTAACCTCGCCTGTATCATAAGAGTAGTCAGGATTCAGGAACCTCTGTTTTCCCGCCTCCCCTCTGTTTGCCCGCCTCACCTCTGTTTGCCCGCCTCACCTGTGGTTGCATGTCCCATCCCTCACCCGCATTGCGAGAGCAGTAGTCGCTGACAGAGCCAAGGAAGGTCCTGAGGGGGGGGGAGAGGGGAGAATGAGGGGTATGAGAAGGGTGAAGGGGAAGCAAAGAGGAAAAGGGATCCAAAAGCAGTAGTCACTGACCAAGCCAAGGAAGGCCCTGAGGGGGGACTGAGGGGAGGATGGGGGAGGGAGGAAGGGGGAGGGAGGATGGGGGAGGGAGGATGGGGGAGGGAGGATGCGGGAGGGAGGATGGGGGAGGGAGGATGGGGGAGGGAGGAAGAGGGAGGGAGGATGGGGGAGGGAGGATGGGGGAGGGAGGAAGGTGGAGGGAGGATGGGAGAGGGAGGATGGGGGAGGGAGGATGGGGGAGGGAAGATGGGGGAGGGAGGATGGGGGAGGAAGGAAGGAGGAGGGAGGATGGGGGAGGGAAGATGGGGGAGGGAGGATGGGGGAGGGAGGATGGGGGAGGGAGGAAGGGGGAGGGAAGTGGGGGAGGGAGGAAGGGAGAGGGAGGATGGGGGAGGGAGGATGGGGGAGGGAGGATGGGGGAGGGAGGATGGGGGAGGGAGGAAGGGGGAGGGAGGGAGGGTGGGGGAGGGAGGAAGGGAGAGGGAGGATGGGGGAGGGAGGATGGGGGAGGGAGGATGGGGGAGGGAGGATGGGGGAGGGAGGAAGGGGGAGGGAGGAAGAGGGAGGGAGGGAGGGGGAGGGAGGATGGGTGAAATGCAAGGGTGGGGGACAGGAGAGAGGGTAAAGGGCGGAGAGCAGTAGTTTTTTACTAAGCCAAGGGAGGTTGCGCAGGGAGGAGAGAGGGAAGGGAGGGGCGGATGGGAAGGGGCAAAAGGAAAGAAGAGAGGTGAAGGAAGTGGAGAGCAGCAGTGCTGAACGATCCAAGGAAGATCCTGAAGGGGGAGAGGGGAGGATGGCGGAGACAGGAAGGTTGAAAGGGAAGCACAGAGGTCGGAGCACAGAGGTGAAATTACCAGCAGTAATAGCACCTGACTGAACCAAGGAAGGCCCTGAGGCGGGGGAGAGAGGGGAGTGAGGGGCGATGGGGGCGAGAGGATGCAGGAGGGCGGACAGGTGAGGGAGGATCAAGGAGGGAGAATTGGAGAGGAAGGATGAGGCAGGGAGATTGCGGGGCCACATACGCCATGCAGATACCTCTGCACCGGACTGAGCCCATGCAAGTTCATGACAAACGCGACGTCTGGTAGGACAGGAGGTGCCATCCTCCCCATCCATTGGCCGATTTTAGCCAGAACTGAGTCGATTTTCACTCGACTTGCTAATTTCTCATGTGTGTGTACTGTCCAGTGCTGCCCCATCCGCCGCCCTACTTACAACAACCAGCAGGCCATATACACAAATCTGCACAGGTATGAGCCCACAAGAGCTCATGAGCAGCACGGTAGCACCCCTAACAGCTACCTCGTTGAGAATGAGATGACATCCTGCCCGCATGCTGCCCCATCAATGCCCTATTCAGACACCCATGCCATTTACACACCTCTGCATCGGACTGAGCCCACAAGAGCTCATGAGCAGCACTGCCACATCCGTGTGAACAACCCGTCCAGAACGAGGTGCTGTCCGCCTGCTGCTGCCCCATCAATGCCCCATCCACACCATACTCAGGCACCCACTTACACACCTCTGCACCGGCCTGAGCCCCCGGGAACTCATGACGAGCGCAGCAGCGTCCCTGATGACCACCTCGTCCAGAATGAGGTGCTTGGGGTCGCCCGATTTGATGGCCTTGTCCACCTTGAGGCCCTGGGAGAGTGGTGAAGAGGGGTGGAGAGGGGTGAAGAGGGGTGGAGAGAGGTGCACAGTGAAGAGAGGGAGAGAAAGAGGGCACCATCGTCTTAGATGACCACCTCGTCCAGAATGAGGTGCTCGGGGTCGCCCGGCTTGGAGCACGGGCCTAGTGTATGCAGAGAAAACAGAAAGAATCGATGATAGATGCCTGTCAATGCCTCTCTTCTGGTGTGTGTCCCTGCAGGTGTGCACCACACGGGCTGCTTACTTGGAGCACGGGCCTAGTGTATGCAGAGCAAACAGAATGATTAGTGCATCTTTGTCGTACACTTCTTGGTTGAAACATGTAGCTAAAGGCACCCCAAAACTTGCGCGTTACCTAGAGACGAATTTTATCATTTTATATGTGTAGTCGCTTATATACAGTACCACCTTATGTGCCTGGTACACCAAAATCTTATGCTTGTTCAGCTTGATAAGGCTTCTGCCTTGTTCACTTCGATGTGCGCAGCAACTATAACATGGTTTTCTGATCTGACAACAACTTGTCTTGAGATGCATCTCAACTCAACACAACATCTGACTGTTTTACCAATCCACCCCACAGACTGCAATGTTCCACACTCCAGGGCAGGAGGACATGAACTACACCAACGAGAGGTGGCGTGCATGTGGTGCCTCTGCAAAAACAGGGACACCATGAAAAGACAGCATACGGTAACCGTGTTCGTCTGTTCCAAGCTGGCTGAAGTGCAGTGCACCATCGGTCTCTTTGATCGGTCGTGTGGAAAGAAACCGCGACCAAGGTGTGCGATGTGATGTTAGGCAGTATTGGAAGAATGCAACAAAAATCTTGCTGCATGGAGCCATAGTTAGATGGTAGGTAGATACACGAAATAAAAATGCTGGTAACCACACAAAAGCCAAATCTATTTGACCATGTGTAAGTCATAAACATGTTACTTGTTTTGGCTAAATAAAAAGAGCCCACAGACGGGAATCAGTGGGCTGGTTTGCCTCTCACAACAATCACAGGACACTCTGCCACAGCAGACAAAGCAAGGGGATTTGGCAAGGGGTCGGATGAGGGCAGGAAAGGATAGGGAGATGAAGTTTGTGGTTAACAGTTCAAAGTCTACTGGCAACCTTGCCTGAATTACAATAGCAGTCAGGAATGCTAAGCTCACCTCGGCCTGCATGCCACGCAACTCACCTGTATTAAAAGAGCAATAGGGAATGCTAAACATGGCTTTGCTTGCAGCCTCACCTGTGTTTGCACACCCCACCTGTGTTTGTTTGCACACCCCACCTGTGTTTGCACACCCCACCTGTGTTTGCGCCCTCATTTGTGTTTGCAACCCTCACCTGTGTTTGTGCCCTCATTTGTGTTCGCGCCCTCATTTGTGTTCGCGCCCTCACCTGTGATTGCACCCCCCATCCCTCACCTGCATTACGAGAGCAGTAATCGCTGATCGAGCCAAGGAAGGTCCTGAGAGCGGGAAAGAGGGGAGGTTGGGAATACAAGAGGATGGGGTAAACTTGTACGTGAGGGAGAGAAGAGAGGAGAAGGGGACAGAGAGCAGTAATCGCTGATCGAGCCACGGAAGGTCCAGAGAGAGGTGGAGGCGAGGATGGGGGAAGAGGGAGGACGGAAAATAGGTGAAGGGAAAGAAGAAGAGAGCAGTGATATAGAGACAAGGTCCGATCGGGCCCCAAACAGGAGCCATGGTCAATGCGTGGCAGCAGTAACTTTTAGCAAACTGTTTTTAAGTTTGTGTAGGCTTGCTTGCGGTGACAGAGCCAAGGTCGGTCCTGCGAGGGAGGGAGAGGGGAGAGGATGGGGGAGGGAGGATGGAGCACAAACGCTGCCCATCAATCCATGCCGCACTTTGACCCACTGTGCACAAACCTCTGCACCGGACTCAACCCACCTCACCCCACATGCCATCCTGCCCTCGCCCTGCCTGCCCCATCAATGCCCCACTCACTCAGGCACCCATTTACACACCTCGGAACCAGGCTGAGCCCCCAGGAGCTCATGATTATCAGCACAGCAGCGTCCCTGGTGACCACCTGGTCCAGAATGAGGTGCTGCCTGCCTGCCTGGCTGCTGCCCCATCCACCAGACGCCCCATTAAGAGCAATCCCCCAGTCCAAGCAAACGATGCCCTACTCAGACACCCATGCCATGCCATGCACACACCTCTGCACCGGGCTGAGTCCCCGGGAGCTCATGACCAGTGCAGCAGCGCCCCTGATGACCACCTCGTCCAGAATGAGGTGCTTTCCGCGTGCTGCCCTCACCATGAATGCCCTACTCAGGACACCCATCTACACACCTCTGCACCGGGCTGAGCCCCCTGGAGCTCATGACGAGAGCTGCAGCGTCCCTGATGACCACCTCGCCCAGAATGAGGTGCCATCCTGCCCGGGTACTGGCTGCCCCAAAAGTGCCCAGGCACCCATTTACACACCTCTGAACATGACTGAGCCCCCCCCCGCTCATGACGAGCGCTGCAGCGTCCCTGATGACCACCTCGTCCAGAATGAGGTGCCATCCTGCCAGCCAGCTGTCCCATTACACACCTGACACCCAGTTACACACCTCTGAACCGGACTGAGCCCCCGGGAACTCATGACGAGCGCAGCAGCTTCCCTGATGACCACCTCGTCCAGAATGAGGTGCTTGGGATCGCCCGATTTGATGGCCTTGTCCACCTTGAGACCCTGGGAGGGAGAGCGGTGAAGAGGGGTGGGGAGCGATGAAGAGGGGTTGCAAGGGTTGAGGAGGGGTGAACAGGGGTGAAGAGGGGTGAAGCGAGGAAGAGAGAGAGAGAGGGAGTAGCAGAATGATGTGCTTGGGGTCGCCCGACTTGATGGCCTTGTCCACCTTGAGACCCGGGGGAGCGGGAGGTGAAGAGGGTTGCAGTTCGGTAAAGAGTGGTGAAGAGGGTTGAAGAGGGGTGAATAGTTCAATTAGCAGCGTCCCTGATGAAAAACCTCGTCCAGAAAGCGGTGCGTTGGTGTGATTCTGCTTCCATGCACCTTGAGGATGGCGTCGTTGAGCATCTGCTTCATGACCAGCATGTGGTTACTGGTGTGATTTTCGTACGCACTGGTTCATTAGTGTCACGTTGCTTGCTTACAGGGAAGCGTTCGTGCGCCTTGTGAATGACGCCATTGAGGATCAGCTCCATCGCCAGCATGTAGGCATTGGTGTGATTTTCGTACCCGTTATGCACCGATTTGTTACCGTCACATTGCTTACAGGAAAGCGTTCGTGCGCCTTGTGGATGACGTCACTGAGTTGCTCCATCGCCTTGCCAGCATGTGCCCATCGGTGTGGTTTGCATACGCGTTAAGAGTTACACCAATTCGATACAAGCCACGTTGCTTACAGGGAAGCGTTCATGCGCCTTGTGGATGACGTCATTTAAAATCTGCTCCATGGCCAGCATGTACCCGTCGTCGTCATCACCTTGCCCGCCTGACGATGCTGACAGGTCTGCATGGCGGGGTTGGGAATGAGGGGTGTTAACTAGGGTTTTGCTCCATCCATGGCCAGCATGTATCCAGCGTTGTCGTCGCCCTGCCCTCCTGACGACGCTGACAGGTCTGCATGGTTTGAATGTCAGAGAGAGAAAGCATCAATTGGGGAACGATAATGGGGTGGGGAGGGGGTTGGGGCGTGTAAACTGGGAATGTGTTCCATGGCTGGCCATCATGTACCGTTCGTCATCACCTTGCCCTCCTGACGATGCTGACAGGTCTGGATGGAGAGGTGATGATGGCGTGTGGTGCATGATGTTACACCTGCATGTAAGAGAGAGTCATTGCGTGTTCAAACGCGCCTCAAAACACGACTACGCTCGTCGGAACAACAAATGGTGCTATAAACGCAGCGGACGAGTTTCGGGACATCTGATACAGAAGTCCGCCAGACGAACCAGGGTGATTCTTAAAATCCAGAAAACACCCCGGTTTTCGAGACATCTCAGATAACAGCTACAGCTAGACGAAGCACGACCACAGTCGCCGGAAGAATGAAAGGTGCGTTTATTAGCGCAGAAAGGAGCGCTCCGAACGCGTTATGGGAATATACCTGTGCGCGTGGGAAGAATCGTGGCGCGAGTGGGTCGGACATTGAGGAGCGTGACGTGGTCCTCCGGCTTTATTAGGTTCTCTAAAGCCCAGAAAAACGCGTCGCGGCTTCCCTCGCGAGCATCCATCGCAACCACGATCTGACGTTCCGCCATGTGAACTCTCGAGCAACCAGCCCAGTGCAGGTACCTGAATCCTGATTAACTAGCAGAAAGAGAAAGCTCTTTAGGGAGGATGACCTCTTTCAATAAGCTCCCAGTACTATGGAACGTGCTCGATTACGGGTCCTTTCTTGGTAGCTGATGAGCAGTAGCTATGTGCAAGGAAACGGACGTTAGATTTTCTTCGGCAATAGAAGAAACTACAATCAAAACTTCAAGAATGCGTGCATACAAAGGTCGCAAGAAGCAGAATAGAAGCGTGTTGGAACAGAAAATATGGTTTGGGCTTGCTTTTGGGCTTGCTTGACTTAGGTGGAGAAGGTGGTCTGGCGATGAGCAAGATTCTGCTGCGGGAAGGTTTGATGAGGAGGAGGGAGTGGGGGAGGAGGTAGGCTGGGGAGGAAAGTGGAGGTTTGGTGAGTAGCACAGGTCGGGAGGAGGTTAGGGGGGAGGCTGATTAGGGAGAGGTGTGGTTGGAGAAAACTAGCCGAACCAAGTCCGTCCGGGAATCCAAGGGTCAGGTCAGGTGAACAAGTGTTGGGCAAACCGACAATGCCAAATTGGCTTTGACGTGGGAATCAAGGGGGGAAAGCTGGTTTGGAAAAAATGTAGGTGCCACGAACCAACGGCCTTCCTAGACCAACACGAACCAACCTGACTAGCGCTGGTTTAGGGGACCTGTCAGGTTCGGAACAGCGAGCCTGAAGTTCATAAAGCGACGGTGCACATTTGCCACCCGAAACCCAAAACCCTGGCGAACTGTTACTGCGGAGGAAAAGTGTCCGCACGAAATCCAGGTTTTCGTTAGCCAACACTTTCGCGCTGGCAAGCCTGGTTCAAAACAAAAACTTCTGAACCCCCGCTTGTCAAAACTAGACCCTCGTTATAAGCCACGTGCACCTCTGCTAGCGTGGATAGCTATGTGGTGACGAGGATTTGCCAACATTGCGTTGGCGGCAAGATGACGTCAGACGATATTCGGGGGAGCGCACCACGAAACAGCACCAGACCTTCTCGTGTGATGACGTAGGCAAAAATCCGGTTAAGGGTGAACCGGTTGAGGGTCAAGATTCAGAATAGGCGTCAAGCTGACAAATTGTTACGGGTGCAATGAATCGAGGTAGCGAGGATTGCACTAGAGTGTTCAACGAGTACAAAGTATGAGCGAAGGCATGAGCGAATACTTATACGCGAAACATGCAAACGGTAACGCGGTGCGTGCGAGCTAGCTAGTGCTACGCTGGCGCGAGGTTCGGGCTAGTCCCGAAGCGTAGGCCGACTCGGCTGCTCCAGCAGTGCGAGGTTTGGTGAAACAGTGCGCGCGAAGTTGGCGAAGCCACGTTAGCAGTAACGGGCGAACAACGGTTGCGGCTGTACGTGATGTTGACGGTCGCCGTAAGGAATAGCAAGAAACTTCCTTACACTACCCCCCCCCCCCCCCCCCCCCCCCCCCCCCTCAAGAAGCCCCTCCGTTACGCGAGTGCGTGTATATCGCGGAAACCCCGGCTCCTCATGTACACTTGCAGAGCAGGGTGGTTTTCGATGTTGGCCAGGGGCACCCAGCTATCCTCAGTTGGTGTGCGGTCCTTCCAGCGAACGAGGAACTCGATCCTCTTGATGCCTGTGGGGTGTCGAATCCGATGGCTCATAATCTTTTCGGGCTCAATGGTCGGCTCCGATGCAGGGCGAGTCATAGATGGCGGGCGGTGACGAGGCAGTTGGCTCGTGGTTGGGATGTAGGGGCGAAGCAGGCTGACGTGGAACGATGGGCTGATGTACCAGTCTGTTGGTAACAGTAAATGGGCGGTAACTGGAGTAATCATGTGGCTGATTTGGAATGGTCCACAGTAGCGGGGTCGTAATTTCGGTACGACGGGCAGTCTTAAGTTCTGTGTGTCGAGCAGTACGTAATCCCCTGACTGGTACGTGACTGGGCGGCGGTGGCGGTTAACATTTCTTTTCGCGATGACATTGGCCTTTTTAATTGCTTCTGTGGCTCTGGTGCGGGCAGCTTGCAGAATCTCGGCGAACTGTTGTGCGCGTGGCGTTGGGTTGTCCGGACTCGGAGTCATGGGCACTGTTGGGATTTGCCCGTAGTTCAGGTAGAACCGGGACTGTTGCGTCGTCGCTGACGTGGCGTTGTTGTACGCGAACTCAATCAGCGGCAGCTGAGAAGAAACGAGGAATGAAAATGACTAAGGGAAAGTTGGTACAAATGTAAACCCTAGAAAACTGTACCCCATATGTGCTACCCCACTATAGCCTACAGTAGCTATGTCATATAAATCTGACACACCCCCATAGGCAAAGTGGGGGAGAACAAGGGGTCACAAGACCAGTCAAGCAAAGCAAAGTAAGCTCAGGGTGGATCACAAAGTCACCACACATTCCGAGCACAAGTTCAAGGCCACAAGGCCAGTTCACATGCAGGATTACATATATATATAAGGCTAGACAAGCAAGAGCAGGTGTATATATATATGCAACAGTACAAACAGGGTCAAGGGGTGAGCAAGTGAGGCAAGGTAGGCACAAGACCCAGCTGAGTACAGAAGCGCTGATGATCACAAGGCGCAAGTGCCTTGGTGAAGATATCAGCAGTGTTGGCCTGAGAGGCCACGTACGCAAGCCGCAGCTGACCACGCTGCTGTAGCTCACGAGCAAGGAAGTAGCGGAGAGCAATGTGCTTCGTTCTGTGCTCCAGTCTCTGCTCTCGACACAAGGCCAGCATGGCCTTGTTGTCTACATACAGCACTGGAGGAGAACGAGGCGGCTCTCCGAGGTCAGTCAGCAGGTAGGTGAGCCAGCGAAGCTCCTGTGCAGCCATGGCCCCGGCGTAGATCTCAGCCTCACAACTGGAGCCGAGAACAGAAGACGAGCGGGTAGCCCGCCACGAAACAGAGCCGGAACCAAGGCTGAAGATGTAACCCTGTGACGACCGCTGCGTAGCCTGGTCGTCAGCCCAAGAAGCGTCTGCGTGCCCAGTGAGGACCACTGGACTCTGCCCTCCAAGCACAAGCCCCATGCCCGACGTACTGCACAAGTAACGCAACACCCTCTTCGCTGCAGCCATGTGCTCCGGTCTGTGTCTCCCAGGAGCAACATAGCGTGCGAGAATGCTAAGAGGGTATGCGAGGTCAGGTCGTGTGCAGGTCATCAGGTACATGAGGCAGCCAACAAGCTCTGGGTACGGGCCACTCGACTCTACGGACTCATCCGAAGGCAGAGCTGAGAGCGAGTGGCGAGTAGGCAGAGGAGTGGCCTGAGGCGAGGAGTACGTGAAGCCGAAGCGCTGAAGGACCTGCTGCACCATGTGTGACTGAGTCAGGGTAATGGTGCGGCGTGCTCTGTCCCGGGTGATTTGCAAGCCAAGGTAGCTGCGCAGTTCACCCAGGTCTGTGCACGTGTGTCTCTTCTGCAGCTCGGACTTCACGTGGGCGAGTCCAGCAGTGTCAGCTGTGGCAAAGACCAAGTCGTCGACGTACACGAGGATGTAGAACGGCGGCAAAGAAGTGTCGGTGCGCAGAAACAGCGACGGGTCGGCAGTAGAGGGAGCAAACCCAAGAGCCGCAAGTGTAGTCCTCAGTGTGTCGTGCCACTCACGCGGTGCCTGGCGGAGACCGTAGACTGGCCGCCGGAGGCTCCACTGGGAGCCAGGAGGAAAAGACCCAGTGAAGCCAGGTGGGCGACGCAGCCAGATCTCCTCGTGCAGGCTGCCCTGCAAGAAAGCAGTGCTGAAGTCAAGAGAGTGCAGCTCGTAGTCGCGGTGAGCAGCTATGTGCAGCAGTACCCGAAGAGTGGTCATCTTCGGGGTGGGAGAGAAGGTCTGAAAGTAGTCAACTCCCTGCCGCTGACTGAAGCCACGAGCCACGTAACGCGCCTTGAAGACAGGCGGAGAACCCGGCGGTCGCTTCACCCTGAAAATCCACATGCCACTGATGATGTTCGCCCCAGGCGGGGGAACCTCGTCAACGTAGGTGCCTGTGGACTTCCAGGAAGCCATCTCTGTGTCCATAGCTGCCTGCCACTGAGAGGAGTAGGGACCCTCTATCGCCTCCGCGTAAGAGCGCGGAGTCGGGATGTCAAGTGCATCCGGGTCTCCCTCAGGGGTAAGCAGTACGGACACGAGATGAGGTGAAGCAGCAGCCAAACACTGGAACTCCTCCTGCCTGTCCTCAAGGACGTCCGTGCCAAGGGCACACTCACCCCCGACGGACGGAGGACAGACAGACTCATACTCAACGACAAGACTAGCAGCGTAGTCTAGACGACAGCGAGCAGCAAAGTCGACGAGCTCAGCAACTAGGGCAGACGCAGCAGTGGACTCAAAGGAAGGGTCAGTGACGACAGTAGCAAGGAGACGCGTGACAGTAGGACTGGCAGCACGAAGAGAGTCCGACTCCGGGTCGGGAAGAGCAGGAAGAGAGGACTCAGGAGGAGAAGGCGCAGAGGAGCAGTGGACGGACGCAGAGACATCCGGTGCGTGCCAGGGACAGGAGGAGGACGCTGACGCGAACCACGGCCACTAGTGCGAGCAAGACGGACAGGCGACGCAGGGCGAGACGCAGGCTCACGACGCTCAGCCAGACCTCCAGTAGGACCAGTGTAGGGAGAAGGAGCGGGCAGTGTGGAGGCCGGCTGTAACTGTAACTGGGACGGGACAGGCTGTGGACACTCTAAGGGAGGAGGAGGACCAGTAGAAGGCGGGAGACCAAGAACCTGCTGAAGGAGCGGAACGAAGTACGGCCGAGGCCGCGCGGCGACTCCAGACACAGCAGGGACAGCACCAGTACCCCCAGCGGCAGCACCAGCGCCAGCAGCACCTCCAGCTCCAGTACCTCCAGCAGCACCAGTAGCACCCCCAGCAGGACCGCCTCCAGGACCGACAGCAGTAGCCTCAGCGCCAACACCCTCAGCAGCTCCAGCTCCAGGCGTACCCGCAGGCCCACCAGCTCCAGTACTCCCAGTACGAGCACCTCCGGGACCCGCGGCAC